AGTCGTAAAGAGGATGAAAAAATCATTTTTTGATGCAGATTTTTTACGTTCTTCTTCGTATACCATTTGACTGATCGGTTTTTGCCTCTGTTTGTATTGGTGAATTTCGTTTGGACTCTCGGTACCCGGCTGATCTAATGAAAGGAAGGCATCCCCAGATGGCGAAGATGGAGCGTTAATAATACAATGTTTAAATCTCCGGACATCAACGGTAGAATGATAGCAATCAACATTCCATTCCCTTGCAGTGAGATTTTCAAATTTTGTGTCTGTTTGGTTTTTAGCAATCTCAAGTTGCAGATTGTGATTTTTAAATTGGATGTCTCCATTCAAACGCGCTCCCGCATGAACTTCCGAGATCGTCGTTAGCTCATCTTCTTCAATCACAGCTGACTTTAAACAACGAAATGAAGCGACAAATTTTTCAAAACTCTGCCATGACTTTGCTTGCAATGACGACACAGGATCGATAAGTGCTCTTTGTTCTCCATAATCAGAAAATTGCCAATCTCGAAGTAATGGATCTGCTTGATTATTAGATACCTCTACAAATATCCAGAGCCAGACGTACGGTGCGGTGAGGTATCCCTGTGGACTATCCTTATTTATTTGTTCGAATCGAATCAATCCACTCCCAGCAAATTATTGATCCGGTGTTTTTTTGGTTTTATGAACATTTTTATATAAATTTAAGAGACGTCGAGTCAATATTGCTCGTGCAACAGGCCTGGCGTCCTCCACGGAACCAAAAATAGCATCACGATATCTTTCAGTAAGCTTAAAACGCAGATCGCTCATCAAAGTATTCAGATTACATTCTTCAATATTACGACCAGCCAAGCACTCATTAAGCGCTTCTAGAGCCCTTCCATGCCCTCCACAGTCATCCACAAGAATTTTAGTAATCGCATCGTCTTTAAAGACTGGAACCAACCCATGATCTTGGCGGACGTTTGGCGGTTCCAGAGTAGCTACGGGTAGATATACGCGTTTGCGATGCGAGTATTTCAATGTACCCTCAACAGGTTCAGTTATTGTTGAAGTACAAACGGGTATTACGAAAATGCCCTTAAATGCAGAGTCTGCAATATTTGAGAGAGTCTGATAAAAATGAGAATCTGCCTTTAAATCATCATCATTGTTGACCATAAGCTGTTGCATGCCGTCAACAACCAAAATAACTAATATCTTTTATGCTTCGGTTATAGTATTTGGCAACTAATTTTATAACAGCCACCGGAGTTTCCGGCTCGTATGTTTTGATAATTCCCTCAAGATCCATTTTCTCTCTAAGAAGTTGAAATAACATTCGAGTACCAACGGCACGATAAGGAGAGGATTCTTCCAGTTGTAAGGTGGTGCCATTTTCATAGCTAACATGAAATACCCAAGCTTCTTTGATCTTGGTCAACAGTTCCGTATCTTCTGGCTCTGACAAACAAGAGATTGCCGTCTGGTGAAATTCGTTGGCGTTTCGAGATTTTCCGGTGCCAGCTCCAGAAAGGAAGAGGTATAATGGAATCATAATTTTGTCAAAACGCCCTGAAAGAAAATTTGTGTAATGGTTTTTAAGCTCCCTTCGCAAAAT